GTACACGGTCTCTCCTACCATGGTTGATTTGTGCTTCATCGACTGTGCATTGTTTTCTGTAGGCTTTTCGAGTTAGTTCATAGCGTTGCGCGCACAAATATAATTCAAAACTTATGTGTCTTGATTGGATTTGATTGTCTCTTTTATGGCGGAATGGCATCTATCGAACAAGTCTCTTGTTTGCGGCCTCGATATGTGGGTGACTGGGTGTGGATGAAATCCTCCGAGTCTTATGGTTGGTTTGTCGTGCATGTTTGGCTCTCTGTTTTGGAGAATTTGGTGTAGAATAGTTTTTTCATGGGTTAATAGCACCTTGTACCTAGGGGTGTTCAATTGGTTACCATGGTTATTACCAAACCAAATGAGGCTAAATTTCATTAACCATGGAATACAATATCATAACCAAACCGTCCAAACTAATATAACAACCAAATTAACCAAACTAAAGTTTAATCGGTTTGGTTAATTGGTTAGCCAGATTAACCAATATAAAATCAAATTATCATTAAGTGAGAAAATTTTCGGTTAATTTATCAATTCACAATTTATATAATGAATAAAACATAACAATCAACACATAGTTATAGTTGACCCTTAACATAAATACATGCAACTAAGACAACTATCTTACGGTTAGTATAGAAGTATTCGCCTAACAAAAATTTATCACAATGGTATGGGTTAATGAATTGTTGTGTTTGTTTGAATTGACTTAGTCTTTTAGCAATTTTCATAGGCTAAAAATGACCTTGCTTTCAAGTTTTCATCCAACATAATGTATGAGATTTATCTAAATTAGGCGTTCATATATTGTGGTCTACACTCTAAATATACAAATATACATTATAGGAACAATATAAAGCTTTATATTTTATGAGTCTAAAAGAATGAACGTTTAACTCTTGAGTGGCTATTTACAGTATTAAGTATGTGTATATATTAGATATATGACTAATTATTTATCTGGTTAATTTGGTTTGGCTGGTTAGGAGTGTCTGAAACCAAACCAAACCACCTAAACCAAACAAGGTAAAAACCCTAACCAAACCAAACCAATTATCCAAATTAACCAAACCAAATTATCTAAATAGTACTGGTTAAAACGGTTACCATGGTAACCACACCGTTTGAACACCCCTACTTGTACCCCTCTACTATTGTAAATTAACTAACGTACCTCTCAACTAAATTTTTGCACCATGCTTCTGCTACCTGGGGGCTCTCTGATTCACTCCATAGCCTCCCTCCGGAGAACTCTTCCTTTGGTGAGTGGTTCTTTAATCTCCAAGACACCTATTCCAACACTCAGGTCCGCAGGATTGTGTGCTGCTTATGGAGTATTTGGATTGCTCGCAACACTTTCGTGTTTGAAGAAAAGGCTCCTACCCCGGCCTCTTCTGTGATTGTGTCGGGTCGTGATTTCTTGCTTATAGAGGAAGCTAGGAAGACTCCGTCGAGCTCTCCTCTCTCTCGCACGACACAATCTCACTCCCAGCCTAGGGGTCCCCGCTCGAACCCTTTACCACCGCCCCTCCCGTTTTCACGGTTGATGTATTGTGACGGTTCTTTTGTCTCAGATTCATCTTTGGCGGCTTATGGGATTACTATTGCTAATGCCCATGGTCAAGTGTACGACGGCAAGGCTGATTCTTTCCTCTGTTCCCATCCTATTCAAGCGGAAGCCTTTGGTCTCCTCAATGCCATCTTGATTGCAGCGCAAGACACAGAACCTACCCGCATCCGAACAGACTGCCAGGTTCTTACTCTTGCTCTTCGTCAAGACCCTTCTCTTTGGCCTTGGCAATGTCGTGCGACGATTGCTCGCATGGTGTCGGTCATCCATTCTGCTCCATGGATCAAGGTCGAGTTCGTTCCTCGGCGCCTGAATTCACTCGCGGATTGGGTTGCCGGCCAAGCTCGACTGAATACATTACCGGTGGACTGGATTGTAATTTGTGATATTATTGCTCCACTCTTGTAATGTTACTGGCTTCCCTTCTTGGGATTGGAATAAGAGGATTACTTGTTCAAAAAAAAAAAAACTAAATTTTTGCACAAACGTACATTTCTAATATTAAAACTTAACAAGTTTACCTTCCGTCTAATTTTCTGTTAAGTAGACCTTAAAGTAGTTAAGAAATGACCCAATTCTCCCTTCTTTACTCATAATTTCAATTTCAATTATATTATTTATTTATATCTCAAATCTATCAATTAATTAAAAGAACAAACCCTTAATCCCTAGACAATTCACCGGCAGTAAGAAACCGTTTGCCTCCCCTGTTCTCCCCAGGCAGTTCGTCCCTTGACTTGGCGGCGCCTGCTCCGGCCTGCTCCTCGCCGGCGGCTGGAGTAGAGATAACCGGGCGATACGGAGAGGCCAGACAGCCAGCTTCCCGGATTCTCCCGCGATCCAACTCCATCCTTTTCTCCCCTCGACCACACAGCCGCGATCGCTAGCTTCCGATTTCTCTCGTGGTGTTCCTACACCCGCTTCTGGCTTCTCCCACGACATTCCAACAATCGCTTCCCCGTCAATCCCTCTACTTGGCTGGCAGCGGCACAACTGTCAATTAGCCGGAGTTCTCTTCAATAATTTTGGGTGACAAAGATAATCGCACACCTCTACTGGCCGGATTTCTCGGGTTCTTTTAATGGCTTGATTTGGGATTATTAGAGAGGAAGGCAAACGTTCTGTCGAGTGAGTACGAGTGAAGGGGGATTGTAGGTTTTGTGTTCTTTTACTTAATTGTTTTATTTGGGAATAAATAAATAATAAATAAAATAATTAAAACTGAAATTAGGAGTAAAGGAGGGGCAATTGGGTCATTTCCCAGTTCCTTTAACGGCCACTTAACAGAAATTTAGACGTAAGGGTAAATTTGTTAGGTTTTAATATTAGAAAGGTATATTTGTGCTAAAATTTAATAGAGGGATATGTTTGTTAATTTACAATACTAGAAGGGTACAAAATGCTATTAACCCTTTTTTTATTGGGCTAATACCACTAGGAAATTTAAACTATCAAGATCGTGTCATTTGTGTCTCGAACTATTTAATATGATATTTATGTATCAATGTATGTGTCATTTATGTCTTGATTATTTCGTTGACCGTTATAGATAACGGTTGACCAGACTGTGGTCAACTTGATGTTAACTTTTGCTGACATGGAAAAAACGTGACAACCACGTAGATCCCACGTCATTGACACCTCATATTTTAAATTCAAAATAAAATTAAAAAATAAAAAATTGTAAACTCAATTAGTTAATATTGTTTCTGAAAATTAAATTAAAATATAAAACAAGAAAAGAGAAACTCCCACCTTGGGATGGCAATGGGTCGGGTTTGGCCAAACTCAAATCCAAACCATGGGTTTATCCGTGAAAAAAACCCGGGGTAAAACCCACTGGGTTTGGAAAAATCAAACCCAACCCAACCCGCTGGGTATCCGCGGGTTCATGGGTACCTGTGGATTTTTGTCGTAATAAATTTACAATAACAAGTTCCTATCAAAATAAAAGTCAAATATCTATCTATCAATATAAATTATCCATATATAAATACCATTCTAGAAAATTCAAGCAAATCACAAATTAATCATACAAATTGTTCAACACCAATCTAGAAAACTCAAGAAAATTGAAGCAAATCACAAATTATCCATAAATAATATGATTAATTGAAAGCTTATTCCTCCGTGTCAATTAAGCTTCTTCACTCTCCACTCGATAATATCAACTTCATTCTACACAATTAGAAAGAAAAAACTAGACATGTCTCCACAAACATAATGAAGATTCATTGCTTAGAATATTAAATATACCGCGAAAATTAATTATATGGGTGTGGGCGTGTATCCATGGGGCGGGTATAACTAAACCTAAACCCAACCCGGTGAATAGTGAACGGGTTTAAAACCAAACCCGACCCAAAATCCATCAACATAGATTTTATCCGCGTTACCTGGGTTGGATCGGGTAGGGTACCCGTGAGTTCGGGTTTTGTTGCCATCCCTACTCCTACCACCGCATCATACTCGCTCTGCTCTTCAGCTTCTCCCCGCAGGTCTTGCTTCCTCCAATTACAAACCCAAATCACAAAAATACCAACCATCGCAAACACCAAGTCCCAGACCTCGCTCCGTCGCTTTCGCTCCCACATCCGACGTGTCCTTTGTTTGAGAGAGAAACCAGAGAAAGGGAAGCGAGGAGCTCTTTATAGCCATCGTCGCCACCTTCAAATCCCTTCAGCGAATCAGCAAGTATGCCAATGATATCTCGCTGCCGCTTTCCCCCCACGACAAGCTGCTCTTCCAGAGCAACCTCGCTTCCTCAATCCTATAAATTTGAAGCTATCACCGTCAATCCGAATCGATGACGTTGAAGGAGAACGCGACGGTGGCTGTGGAAGCTATCACCGCCGATTCGGACAACGGCTGGGTTGTTGCTGCCTACGACGGTGTGACGATGTTGATTGAGACATGACGGTCGAGAGATCTGGTTACACAACCATTCCCCCGTTCCTTTTCCCTTGACTCCAGAATAGAAGCTTACTGTCACCACCAGATTCCCGAGCGATTTGGGAATTTGTTCGGGGAGGAAATTGAACAGGTTGAGAGTGTTGTTGGAGAGGGATTCCCCAAATCGTTACGAATATGGCCGGAGAATTTGTTGGAAGAAAGGTCGCTTGTTGAATCTGTCAAACTATGCGAAAATAGAAATCGAACACAAATACGCACACGATTTACGTGGTTTCCTCAGCTAGAATAGTCGAGACTAGTCCACGGAGAGGTAGCCTCTCGAGTCAATCTTATTAGGGTTCAGTCACACAAATACAATAATCTCTCTACAATATATATACCTGCCGCCGAGCTAGCCCTAGTTCGCAGGGTCAATTTAGTAATTAAACCTTAACACAAGATTTATTACTAAACACGGACAATAAATTCAACACCCTCCCTCAAATTGATGATGATGACGCAACATCAATTTGTGAGCTAAAAACCAATGACTAGCCTTGGAGACAGTCTTGGTCAGTATATCAGCCGTCTGATCCCCCGAAGTAATGTACGGAAGGGTGACGAGACCTTCAGCAACCAACTGGAGAATGACGTGAACATTGCACCCCAATGTGCTTGGTATGATCATGGAGAACCAGGTTAGTAGCGATGCTGATAGCACTTGTATTATCCGCAAAAAGGTGAATAGGAACCTCACATTCAACGCCGAAATCAGCGAGGAGCCGCTTCAACCAAACAAACCCCGAGACAAACTTGATGACATGATCCCAAATTTCCAACCATTCACGTCACAATTACTTGAAAAAGAAGCTATCGAAGTTGGGAAGAAGAAAGGCGGAATTTGGCTAAGTCAAAATCTGTGTTCAGGGTACATACTTTGGAGGCATGTTTCTTTCAATTGGCCTGGTGAAAATTCCATTTCAATTACAGAAAATGTTGCCATGTTTTCAATGGTATGCTTTGTGGATTCAGAAGATGTGATTGAGATTGTTTTCCAAGGCCTCAAAGTTGCTACCTCAAAACTGGAAAACTGCCAGAAAAATGACTAAGGCAGAAAACTGTTTTGTGAAGCCTACTTTGGAGCTTAATTCGAGGAGAATGGATCTGATTCAAGTCCAAAGGCTTCCACAACATGAAACTAGGTATGTTTATCTACCAAGGGAAGGAATCGGATGAAAGATTGGAGTTTTGGAAGGCCTTGAACAAAAGGCGCGAAGTTAGTACAAAAGCTGCTTTTGGACTGTTTGCTGGCAGCTTACTTGCGCTTGAAGAAAAGGAGTTTAAACCCGAATTTTGTGTCCTTTTTAGTGTAGAATTTTACCTTAATTGTTTTCTAGTTATAATAGGATTGTATTAGATTTTATTTGCCTTTAAATACGTTTCTATTTCGTTGTAAAATAAGAGTTGATTGAATAGAAAAGAAACCGTTTGGTTTTGCAAGTTTGAGAACTTGTTTTGGGTTTGGTGAATTCCAAACTTGCTGAGCTTTGTATCGATTGAATAGTCCCTTCAATCGTGGTCGAGCAACTACCCTTTTATACCATACGAGCTTTCCCCAGGTGTGGAATTGTCCGTTGGTTCCGTTTTATCCAATTTTCGTATTAAGAATGCGTTGTTCTTGATTCGAGTTCAATCAATCTTCGGATTGATTGTTTGCTGCGTGACTTTGATAAAAATACACCCCCAGGGTCGTATTAAGTGGTATCAAAGCCCCGTTCTACACAAGGGCAACGAGAAGGCAATTTGAGTGGGTTGAGGTTGTGCAAATTGATTCTGCACTTGCTGGAAAACAGGACAACCTTGCTTTGTGCCATTGCTGTTGTTACCTGACCCCTGTGTTACGCCGCCAGAACAGAGTGGCGAATTCGACACTTCTGCCGACGATGAAGAAGCGTTGCTGGTGCACGACGTAGCCAACGACGTGTCTGTCGAGGTTGAAGGAACATCAAAGGGTCGAGGAGAAGATCCAGATCGGGCTACCGGTGACAGAATTCCTCCTTCAACAAGTTCCCAAGAGCTCTGCCGCGTTCCCACGAAACAGAGCAGGAGAGAGAACGATTTGGTTGGAGCAGCCGGCGAAAATTCGAACTTTGCCCCTTGTGCCAAAACGATCCCTACGAACCCAGAAACGTCAAAAGAAGCTTCATTGGAGTCTAACGTACCCGGAATTGAAGAGTCGATCCTCACGAAATCGCCCCTGTTCGTGAAGCAAACGGCCGACGAGAACCATCTTTTGGGTAGAGCGATCCAGCTAAAATCGAGCTCAACCAACGATGTAGAATCATCACATGAGTTATGAGGAACGTGTACAAGCAGTCAATTTGTCACGGCGAAGCCTAAATAAAAAACGCCCAATTTGGGATTGAACATTCTGGGTTTTGCATTTTGAATTTCGGCGACGGCGGGAAAGGGGAACTCGAAGAATTGCAGACGCTGCTGATGAATCGAGGCTGGAGAAGGGATCGAAATTGTAATTGGAGGCCTGTCGAAGACATTGGAGTCGATGAATTGGATTGGGGAAGCTTGAATCGAAAACCCCCAATTTGTTTGAGCAAGAACATGTACAAAGGTGGCATTCGACGACCTGGGGCTTGTTCAGATCGAATTCTAGCGAAATTGAACAACGAAGGAGGTTTGTTTCGAGCCCAGGAAGAGTGTTTAGTCGTTGAATTAGATTGGGGGTCCTTGGAACGAAAATCCCCAATTTCGTTGAATTAGATTGGGGGTCCTTGGAACGAAAATCCCCAATCTCTCTACAATATATATACCTGCCGCCGAGCTAGCCCTAGTTCGCAGGGTCAATTTAGTAATTAAACCTTAACACAAGATTTATTACTAAACACGGACAATAAATTCAACACCCTCCCTCAAATTGATGATGATGACGCAACATCAATTTGTGAGCTAAAAACCAATGACTAGCCTTGGAGACAGTCTTGGTCAGTATATCAGCCGTCTGATCCCCCGAAGTAATGTACGGAAGGGTGACGAGACCTTCAGCAACCAACTGGAGAATGACGTGAACATTGCACCCCAATGTGCTTGGTATGATCATGGAGAACCAGGTTAGTAGCGATGCTGATAGCACTTGTATTATCCGCAAAAAGGTGAATAGGAACCTCACATTCAACGCCGAAATCAGCGAGGAGCCGCTTCAACCAAACAAACCCCGAGACAAACTTGATGACATGATCCCAAATTTCCAACCATTCACGTCACAATTACTTGAAAAAGAAGCTATCGAAGTTGGGAAGAAGAAAGGCGGAATTTGGCTAAGTCAAAATCTGTGTTCAGGGTACATACTTTGGAGGCATGTTTCTTTCAATTGGCCTGGTGAAAATTCCATTTCAATTACAGAAAATGTTGCCATGTTTTCAATGGTATGCTTTGTGGATTCAGAAGATGTGATTGAGATTGTTTTCCAAGGCCTCAAAGTTGCTACCTCAAAACTGGAAAACTGCCAGAAAAATGACTAAGGCAGAAAACTGTTTTGTGAAGCCTACTTTGGAGCTTAATTCGAGGAGAATGGATCTGATTCAAGTCCAAAGGCTTCCACAACATGAAACTAGGTATGTTTATCTACCAAGGGAAGGAATCGGATGAAAGATTGGAGTTTTGGAAGGCCTTGAACAAAAGGCGCGAAGTTAGTACAAAAGCTGCTTTTGGACTGTTTGCTGGCAGCTTACTTGCGCTTGAAGAAAAGGAGTTTAAACCCGAATTTTGTGTCCTTTTTAGTGTAGAATTTTACCTTAATTGTTTTCTAGTTATAATAGGATTGTATTAGATTTTATTTGCCTTTAAATACGTTTCTATTTCGTTGTAAAATAAGAGTTGATTGAATAGAAAAGAAACCGTTTGGTTTTGCAAGTTTGAGAACTTGTTTTGGGTTTGGTGAATTCCAAACTTGCTGAGCTTTGTATCGATTGAATAGTCCCTTCAATCGTGGTCGAGCAACTACCCTTTTATACCATACGAGCTTTCCCCAGGTGTGGAATTGTCCGTTGGTTCCGTTTTATCCAATTTTCGTATTAAGAATGCGTTGTTCTTGATTCGAGTTCAATCAATCTTCGGATTGATTGTTTGCTGCGTGACTTTGATAAAAATACACCCCCAGGGTCGTATTAAGTGGTATCAAAGCCCCGTTCTACACAAGGGCAACGAGAAGGCAATTTGAGTGGGTTGAGGTTGTGCAAATTGATTCTGCACTTGCTGGAAAACAGGACAACCTTGCTTTGTGCCATTGCTGTTGTTACCTGACCCCTGTGTTACGCCGCCAGAACAGAGTGGCGAATTCGACACTTCTGCCGACGATGAAGAAGCGTTGCTGGTGCACGACGTAGCCAACGACGTGTCTGTCGAGGTTGAAGGAACATCAAAGGGTCGAGGAGAAGATCCAGATCGGGCTACCGGTGACAGAATTCCTCCTTCAACAAGTTCCCAAGAGCTCTGCCGCGTTCCCACGAAACAGAGCAGGAGAGAGAACGATTTGGTTGGAGCAGCCGGCGAAAATTCGAACTTTGCCCCTTGTGCCAAAACGATCCCTACGAACCCAGAAACGTCAAAAGAAGCTTCATTGGAGTCTAACGTACCCGGAATTGAAGAGTCGATCCTCACGAAATCGCCCCTGTTCGTGAAGCAAACGGCCGACGAGAACCATCTTTTGGGTAGAGCGATCCAGCTAAAATCGAGCTCAACCAACGATGTAGAATCATCACATGAGTTATGAGGAACGTGTACAAGCAGTCAATTTGTCACGGCGAAGCCTAAATAAAAAACGCCCAATTTGGGATTGAACATTCTGGGTTTTGCATTTTGAATTTCGGCGACGGCGGGAAAGGGGAACTCGAAGAATTGCAGACGCTGCTGATGAATCGAGGCTGGAGAAGGGATCGAAATTGTAATTGGAGGCCTGTCGAAGACATTGGAGTCGATGAATTGGATTGGGGAAGCTTGAATCGAAAACCCCCAATTTGTTTGAGCAAGAACATGTACAAAGGTGGCATTCGACGACCTGGGGCTTGTTCAGATCGAATTCTAGCGAAATTGAACAACGAAGGAGGTTTGTTTCGAGCCCAGGAAGAGTGTTTAGTCGTTGAATTAGATTGGGGGTCCTTGGAACGAAAATCCCCAATTTCGTCGAATGGGTAAAAGTTTGTTGTAACTGTCCAACGAACTGGGAGTTGCTCCGAACAGTTTCAGGCAAAATTGGATATCAATAGGGGTCTATTACAACTCCAGACAGCATTTCCAACAAAACTACCAGCGTCAATCCCTCTGAAACAGATTGAAGGTGAGTATGAAGCTGAAATTTCTTCGTCGAAAAAGGTGTATGAGAAGCCTTCTTCCGATCCAATTTGGGATCAATTATGCGATTGGTTTGAGGAACGAAAGGCTAAAGTGTTGAGGGCAACACTTTTTCAAGAGGGAGGGCCTGATATGATCCCAAATTTCCAACCATTAACGTCACACTTACTTGACAAAGAAGCTATCGAAGTTGGGAAGAAGAAAGGCAGAATTTGGCTAAGTCAAAATCCGTGTTAAGGGTACATAATTTGGAGGCATGTTTCTTTCAATTGGCTTTGTGAAAATTCCATTTCAAGGGATTTTTTTACAGAAAAAGTTGCCATGTTTCCAATGGTTTGCTTTGTGGATCCAGAAGATGCGACTAAGATTGTTTTCCAAGGCCTCAAAGTTGCTACCTCAAAACTGGAAAACTGCCAGACAATGACTAAGGCACAAAACTGTTTGTGAAGTCTACTTTGGAGCTTAATTCGAGGAGTATGGATCTGATTCAAGTCCAAAGGCTTCCACAACATGAAACTAGGTATGTTTATCTAACAAGGGAATGAATCGGATGAAATATTGGAGTTTTGGAAGGCCTCGAACAAAAGGCGCGAAGTTAGTATGAAAGCTGCTTTTGGACTGTTTGCTGGCAGCTTACTTGCGCTTGAAGAAAAGGAGTTTAAACCCGAATTTTGTGTCCTTTTTAGTGTAGAATTTTACCGTAATTGTTTTCTAGTTCTAATATGATTGTACTAGGTTTTATTTGCCTTTAAATACCGTTCTATTTCGTTGTAAAATAAGAGTTGATTTAATAGAAAAGAAACCGTTTGGTTTTGCAAGTTTGCGAACTTGTTTTGGGTTTGGTGAATTCCAAACTTGCTGGGCTTTGTATCAATTGAATAGTCCCTTCAATCGTGGTCGAGCAACTACCCTTTTATACCATACGAGCTTTCCCCAAGTGTGGAATTGTCCGTTGGTTCCGTTTTATCCAATTTTCGTATTAAGAACGCGTTGTTCTTGATTCGAGTTCAATCAATCTTTGGATTGATTGTTTGCTGTGTGACTTTGATAAAAATACACCCCCCCAGGATCGTATTACTTGATGCACCAGCTAGAAGTAGACCGACGAGTATCCTGACAGTCTGCATAATCCGCATCGGCATAAGCTTCTAGCTTAGAAGACTCGGTAGAAGGAAAGAAAAGGCCAACATCCTGTGTATCCTTGAGGTAACTTAGAATGCGCTGAACCGTAGTAAGATGAGTAGACCGTGGGGCGGTCATAAACTGAGTAACCACCTGAACATCATACATGATGTTAGGGCGAGTATGGACTAGATATAACAGACTCCCGATGATACTCCTATAGTGAGAACCATTAGAAAGTAACTCCCCGTCATACTGACTAAGATTGGGATTATGCTCCATCGGCGTAGAACATGGAATACAGTCATCCATCTGTGTTGTTTCTAACAGGTCAACTAAAATACTTCCGTTGACTCACTAGTAGACCTTCCGGACGACGATCAACTTCAAGGCCAAGGAAGTAGGAGAGATTTCCGAGCTCCTTTAAATTGAAAGTCGTGCACATGATATCAGTGAGATCGCGAATCCCTTGTTGATCATCGCCACTTATCACCATATCATCAACATAAAGAAGGAAGACTGTAAGACCGCGAGATGTACGCCGCAAAAACAAAGAGGGATCATTCTCACTCTGAACCAAACCAGCTTGACTCACTAGTAGACCTTCCGGACGACGATCAACTTCAAGGCCAAGGAAGCTGGAGAGATTTCCGAGCTCCTTTAAATTGAAAGACGTGCACAGGACATCAATGAGATCGTGAATCCCTTGTTGATCATCGCCACTGATCACCATATCATCAACATAAAGAAGCAAGACTGTAAGACTGCGAGATGTATGCTGCAAAAACAAAGAGGGATCATTCTCACATTGAACCAAACCAGCTTGAATAACAGTACACTGAAACTTCTCAAACCAAGCACGAGGTGCCTGCTTGAGATCATATATAGGTCGACGAAGCCGACAAACCTGAGAGAGATTACCCTTAGTGTAGCCTGGAGGACGTTCCATGTAGATGGTTTCCTTCAAATCACCATGAAGGAAATCATTTTTAACATCCATCTGCAGTAACGACCATCCCTTCATAGCAGCAACAGTTAGCAAGCTCCGAACAGTCTGCAGTTTCGTCATCGGGGTAAAAGTCTCGTCATAAAAAATACCAAAAGCTTGCTTAAAGCCTTGTGCGACCAGGCGAGTCCTATGATGCTCAATAGAACCCTCAGGAAGAAGCTTAAGAGTATAAACCCATTTGTTCCCAATTACAGAATACTCCGGACGGCGATCTACCAAGTCCCAGGTGTGAGCGAGGTCGAGTGCCTCCTTCTCATCATCCATGACCTTCTCTCACTATTCCAACCCTTTAGCCTGTTTATACGTGGCAGGAACAAAGACTGACTGAGTAGAGTACGACAAAAAATCAGCATGGCGAGCAGGTGGCTGACCGCTTACGGCACGAGTAGAGAGGCGAAGCTGAGGTGCAATGCAGTCAAAAGCGCGATTCTACCTAGAAGCGGAAAAGGGGTAAAATCGTAAAACGTAGAATCAAAGCGTAAAAGCGTAAGTTTTTTACGCATACTGAAAAATAACTAAAAATCTATTAAGTAGGACATATGCTATGCAAAATATGAATGCACAGAATTTAGATAAGTTAATAAATACATGTGATTCATGTTTAAAGTAGAGTAACTTATAGCATCTTAATAATAAGTTCGTAAACATAAATTTTAACGATAAGCCACTTTTCCCTCTGTGCTAATGAATTTGGGAAAACCCTAGTTGGTGAATTAGATTACTCTATTGAAGTAGAATGCATCCAAGTACCTAGTATGTATCTTTTAATCTCAAATGTATCATATTGTTAGTGATTTACTTTAAAAATATACTTTTTAT